ACGTATAAATGCGCACATCAACCCGATCACATGTTCAGCGCTCCTGTGAACACTACGCTCAGATTCATCAGCCGGACTGAATTCAGTCAGATTGGAATAGAAGTTGTGCATGTAAACGTAGCCAATGTGTGTCTGTGTGTTTATAGACGAACATGATTCCCGGCTCTCCCAGCAGCGACGATTCGGATTGTGTCGGCTTCAACAAACTGCGGAGACGGAAACTTTCATTCCGACGGCGAACGGAAAAAGGTATTTCCCATAATTCATGTTCCCATTAGAGCGTCTCTGTATTAATTATTGTAGGTTTTATCATTCACACTTTTTACAAAAACTTAGTATAGTAGCACATACATTCACCTGGGGGAATACATATACAGGTGAAACTCGTGCAAAAGTTCATTTATTTCAGTAATTCAACTTAAAAGGTGAAACTAATATATTATATAGACTCATTAAATGTAAAGTGAGATATTTCAAGCCTTTATTTGTTATAATTGTGATGATTATGGCTTACAGCTTATGAAAACCCCAAATTCAAAATTAGAATATTGTGAAAGGTTTTCATAAGCTGTAAGCCATAATCATCAAAATTATAACAAATAAAGGCTTGAAATATCTCACTTTGCATGTAATGAGTCTATATAATATATTAATATTAGTATAACTTTTGCACGATATTCAAATTTTTCGAATTTCCCCAAAAGACCCAAATATTCAATCCAATATTTGTTATTTATTTTATTTTATTTATTTATTTTTATTAGTACTGTGTTATTATCTTAACATAATGCTACCATCAAACTCTATAGGAACAGATATACAGTCAAACCAAAAATTATTCAGACACCAGATATAATTTTTTATATTTTTTTACTCCTGGCTGCAGGACACTATAGTTCATTTATATAAGTGAGTCTGAATACATTTTGGTTTGACTGTATATATATATATACACAAAGCAATAAACCCAAGTTTATTTCTCCAGATGATGCAGATGTTGGAGAGATCAAGAAGAGTCAGAAACCCGTTCGGAGAGGCAGAAAACAAGCAGCCAGTAGCACGAGCGAACTGGACCCGGGATGGATGGAGCCTCGGGATTCTGTGTCCTCTCACTCCAGTGGGGACGAGGGGGAGGAGCCTGTGCCCACAAACCCCGCCCCTCCCGCATCACTCATGGATGTCACTGAGGGAGAGGCCGATCCGAAAACAGGAAACACATGTAACGCCCTATCAGGTGACAGAATGGGCAACTTATTTAAAATAATTAAAACAGACCAAATTATTGAAATAATAATAATATTAAAAAATATTATGAAATTGAATTGTATATAATATTACATATTATACATTATGATATATATATATATATATATGTATGTATTATATACATAATATTATAATGTAATATATAAAATCTTATTTTTAATATTCTAATATTAAAATAAACATGATAACATAATATTAAAATATAATGGTTTTATGATTTGTGTTTTCTAGATAGATAGAACGGTATATATAGATAGATCGAAAGAATGATAGATAGACATATAGATAAACAGTGCTGACAGTAATGTGTGTGTGTGTGTGTGTGTGTGTGTGTGTTTGTGTGTGTGTCAGGTGCTTTCTCAGGTGTGTCTAACATCTTCAGTTTCTGGGGTGAGAGTCGTGGGAGGCAGTATCAGGAGTTGCCCCGCTGTAACCGTCCGCATCCCAGCAGCCTCAGCGTCAGCCGGCAGCAGCGCAGCCTCATGGAGAGCCGACTCGAGCTGCTGCAGAAACAGCTCAACAGGTCTCAGCGCACAACTCACACCTCACAACTCATCAACTCACAACTCACAACTCACACTCAACTAAACCTTACAACTCAACTAATCCTCACAACTCACACTCAACTAAACCTCACTCCTCACAACTCACACCTCACAACTCACACCTTACAACTCACATCTTACAACTCACGCCTCACAACTCACACCTTACAACTCACATCTTACAACTCACACCTCACAACTCACACCTCACAACTCACACCTCACAACTCACAACTCACACCTCACAACTCACACCTCACAACTCACACCTTACAACTCACATCTTACAACTCACGCCTCACAACTCACACCTTACAACTCACATCTTACAACTTACACCTTACAACTCACACCTTACAACTCCCGCCTCACACCTTACAACTCACACCTTATAACTCACACCTTATAACTCACACCTCACAACTCACACCTTATAACTCACACCTTATAACTCACACCTTACAACTCACGCCTCACACCTTACAACTCACACCTTATAACTCACACCTCACACCTTACAACTCACGCCTCACACCTTACAACTCACACCTTATAACTCACACCTTACAACTCCCGCCTCACACCTTACAACTCACACCTTATAACTCACACCTTATAACTCACACCTCACAACTCACACCTTACAACTCACACCTTATAACTCACACCTCACAACTCACACCTTACAA